ATGGCCCACTTATAAAATGGTCCCCACATTCAACTGCCATTACTTTTCTATCCCATGTGGGACTGGTTTTTTCTTTTCAACCACCTTAATTTTTGAACAAGCGTGTTAATGGGCTGTTGGGAAAAAGCCCTTTCCTTCATCATTTCATTTCTTGCTTGTTTTTGTGCTTTTTCTTCTTTCATTTATGAGTGGTTTTATTGAAGCTTAGAAATCTTTTGTTTAATAAATGCACCCACATTTTTAGAGTGCATTCCTTAAAAGTTTTTGAAATTATATGTAATGTTTTAAATGCACCCACATCAAATCAAAATTCACTTTATCGGTTAATCCCACCTCTTGCTCCATCAAAATCTTCTCAAAAGCCAATTTATAAAAACTCAAACCCAGCCCATCTATGGCCCAAATTAAAAAGAAAAATACTACTGAGAAAATATCACGACGACCCTTTTTCTTTGCAAAATTATGACACATAAGTATACTATTGCATTTTTATACAAACACTTAAACTTAATCTTCATGATTTGTCAAAGGCGCAAAAACATTTGAATTTTGAGTACTTTGACTTTTAACTTGGTTGGAACGGTCATGCAACTTTGTCGTGCCGGTTGTGAGCGACTTGACATCATTTTGGGTAGAAGAATGTACGATCATTTGGAATGTGGTTGTGCTGTGAGGAGCGTTCCTCTGGGAAATTCTATGAAACTAAGAACAGTTGCTCCTTCGTCCTACACGGTCATACCAATTGGGAAATCTGCATTTTTTTGTTTGTTTTGGTTATGACTCTTGTCATACCTTTTCATGTTTGTTAAAATCTTTTTAATGACCTAACTGTAATGAATCCACCTTTAATGATAATTTCCTCACTAAAATTGTATAAATAACAAACCACGATCAATTTCTGGTGGCAATAATATAAGTTTAGTATATAAGATTTCTTATTTTATGGTAATACAAATTATGGTCACTAATTCTAAAGTAGTTTAGCAACCAAAATTATAATAACTAATACTTCTTAAAATTAGTTATCATAATTTTGTATTTATCACTAATTATCTTATGTGTCGATGTTATAGGCACCAAATGGGGAGGAAATGTTTCTGGTCACTAATGCACATTGGTAACCAAATATTGTTACTTTAGTTACCATTTTTTGGCAACAAAAAACTTCTTGTAGTGACTTCTTCATGATGTTTCCATATTTTGCTTCACAAAATTAGACAATCTAACATTATAGCTTTCACTAGGGCTGCAAATTAATTGAGCTGTTCGCGAACAACTCAATGTTTGTTCGATAACTGTTTGATTCGACTCAATAACAAACAGTTCGCGAATAGTTTAATGTTCGTTCGATAATATGTTCGATTCGAGTTCAAACATAGGATGTTCATTCGATTATGTTCGTGAACATATTGCATTCGACTGATCCATCTATTCGCGAATAATTTGTTCGATTATTCGCTCGTTTATGTTCGAAAAACATTGTATACATTATTATATATATTTATATTTTTTTCATTTTTATATTATGTTTGATTTAGTTTGGATGAATTTTTTTTAATGGTAATCAATAATAAAATATTACGATGCTTTTGTTTTTCTTATATATATAATATATTTGGTTTTTTTTTTTCAAATGTCATAAAAAATGTAATATATAAGTATATGACATTTTAATTAAAAAATAATAAATTATTATGATATATAGCATGGCAAATTTAATAACATAATAGATTGTATAATCAAGTGATATATAACATAGCAAATCTAATAACATAATAACTTCATATTTTTCCAAATGTAATCAATAATTAAATATTATGAGATAGCATTTCAATTAATAAATAATAAATATGGTATGGTAAATTGATGAACATAACATATTGTATAATTAAGTGATATATAACATGACAAATTTAATAATATAATAGCTTAATTAAATGTAGTATGACAAATTTATGAACATAACATATTGTATAATCAAATGATATATAGTATGACAAATTTGATATCATAATAGCTCAATTAAACCTAAATTAATCACACATTTGTATTGATCATATATTATAATAGACCCTCATACCGTTATGAATTTATAGGTGTTGATACAAAATATATATACAGACAGTAATGATAATATATATATACACATGATAACTTATAATTTTGATAATTTAATAACATATTAAACATATTTAATCTATGATTAATATATGTATGATAATAATTTTGTATATGCACAATTACACATTATATATATAAAACCCAATAACAAACTAACTAACCCGGCCCAACCCAAATTTTAAACCCAATTCCACATTTTTCCTTACCTGACCCAAAATCCAAATCCAATTCAGTCATAGCCCTAATTTGGTTAATCAAACGAACTCGAACAGCCCTAAGTTATTCGAACATATATTTACAAGTTATTTGAACGAGTTAATCGAACGATCACGAACTGCTCATTTGGTTAATCGAATGAACTCGAACAGCCATTTTGTGTTCGTTTGATTTCGAACACCCCTTTGTGCTTATCGAACGAGTTTCGAATTGGGATTTTCGTTCGTGTTTGGTTCGTTTGCATGCCTAGCTTTCACTGTCTCTTCTTTATATTTGTCATCTTCAAAGACAATTATCCTTAACATACCGGTCTTCTAGACTCATTAGGCTTGTTATACAAATTAAAGTAGTACAACAAACCTTTCACCATTTATCTTCCTTGACCTATCCTTCTCATAACAATCTCATGTGTTCTAGTCCTCTATCATGCATTCTTACATATAAGTCCTCATGACCTATAGTGCTCTAACATCGTCTAGATGTGTAGTTTGAACATATGAAGGCATCATTTGTAGATTTTGGGACGGCTAAAATGAACAAGTAGATGCAACTCTATTTGATTATTAATAGACTGGTCAAAGAAACAATAGAGGACACTAAAAAGGTATTAAGGGTTATAATAGATCGTCTTGCTAGTAAAACCTATTTAATTTAAACACCAAGTTGAAATTGAAATCCCCAATATAGGTCAAGTAAAGTGGTGTACTTGAATACTTGGTTAAAGTCACCATTAGTAACTAGGTAACGAATAATTTTTTTTTTTTAGTTCAAGGTATTTGCTGTCATATCATTTTTATAATATGAAGTCGTTTGTATAAGAACATGATAAGACAGACACGTTTAGAATTGATGATTTAAAATTGTGCACATGCAAAGGTATTAACCATAGTATAAACTATAACAATAGTTTGTTAGACGATCATTGCAATCTAGACTTATATCGTAGCCCAAATAAGGTAGGGTTGGTTCCTAAATCGTTGGGGTCTGTCTGAGAAAAAACAAAATTTTCTATCCATTTAATAATTTTGCAAATAATAGGGATACCTCATGACACTTTCTTTTATTAATATTATCTTTTGAAGTTGGTAAGTAAGCGCCACATCAGATGCATATCCAACAGGAAAGAATCAATTTAACCCCCCAGGTTTCAGAAAGCCTCTTTGCGGGGATTTATGCTGATTTTAATCAAAATGGCCCTCACCATTTCTAAAATTTGTAACATTTGACATATTTAACTTTGTAACAATAACAAGTATAGGGATGACAAAGAATTGTGGTGGATCAAGAATTACCGTCCTCTTTTTTTGTCATCCCAATCCTTAGCCTGGTTTTTTATTAATTTAAAATATTTTGGGCTTTAATTACTTATATTGTTTTAGGTCATTGAACTTTGCTATATCTTATTTGGAAAATGCTACTTATACAATATTTTTTTACAACTCTGATGTAACAGTTCATCATTGGTTAACTCGTAAAGGGAAAAGCGAGACCCATATAAGTAGGCGGGACCTATTTTACAAGCTGAACTAATGACGAGTTTTCACGTCAGAGTTGTGAGAGAAAGTTTGTGAGAAGATGTTGTAGGTGTAGCATTACTCATCTTATTTTCACAATTAAGATTAAAATTAATATAATGTCATTTTGAGCCATTGAAAATTCTCTTTCTATTTATAATTTTTTTTAATATAGTTTTATTTATTAATATATAATTTAGAGATTTTAAATAGGGTGGATTGATGATATCAATCACTATCACTAGTCTGACATTGATTTGGGGATAAGATGGGACACACTTCATCCCTAGCCAAAATAAGGTAGGGCTGGTTCCTAAATCATTGGGGTCTGTCTGAGAAAAAACAAAACCTTGTATCCATTAATAATTTTACAAATAATAGGGATACCTCATGATATTTTCTTTTATTAATATTATTTTTTGACAGATTATAAGAAAACGCCACATCATATGGATATCCAACATGAGAAAATCAGTTTACCCCCCAAGGTTTCAGAAAGTCTTTCCGTGTGGGGAACTATTCTGATTTTGATCAAAATACCGCCCACAATTTTAAAAAAATTTCAACTATGGACTAAAACAGTAATGGCATTAAAGTTGTCATTAATTATTTAAAAAACTTTAAAAAACCTATTTATCTATTAAACTTTTTTTATTTATTAAAAATATACTCAAATCTTAAAAAATAGAGATCTATAGGCGTTGTGAAATTGTAGCCAGTGATCCAATTGTGATCTTCAAATGCCGGCTTCGATACTTTTTTATTTTCAATTTTTAGTTCCATTTTTTGTATTTGAATTTTTTTTTTGCTTATTCCCTAGTTTAAAAATCTTCGTAGGTGAAAAGACTGATTAACCTTGGATAAACGAATTTTAATAGCAAAATCTAATGGCAGGGGTAGTCTTGGTAGTTTTCGTAATTATAGGATGTAAAGTGTCAATTTTTCGAGTTACAGGAGATAAAAATTAGCCCATAAATTATAAACGACAGCTTCAACGCCATTACTGTTTTGATCCTTAGTTGATGAATTTTAGAAACTACAGGGCACATTTTGATTAAAATACTGTCAGGAACCTTTGGGGGCTGCGTGAAATGATTTTCTCTCCATGTCCGATTAGAACTCTACACATTCATATGAATTGACCAAAAAGCCCCTTCATGCTTATCAGCATTTCTATCTACTAGGATTAACTGATCAATGTTTCAGTTAAGAGCTCAAAGCAAACACCATGTCGTTAATGGCGTCATTTCTCCGTCGGAAACTCAACGGCAAGTCGTTCCTTCTCCAATTACGCCTATTCAGTGACGCAAACTCTCATGTTAAACCTTCGGAACGACAACAAGAAGAACCGATAGAAAAAATTCTGATAGCAAACAGAGGCGAAATCGCTTGCAGAATCATGAGAACAGCAAAGCGGTTAGGGATTCGAACCGTCGCCGTTTACAGCGACGCCGATAAGGATTCTCTTCACGTGAAATCTGCCGATGAAGCTATTCGTCTCGGTCCACCTCCGGCTCGGTTAAGTTACCTCCAAGGCTCTTCCATTGTCGAGGCCGCGATTCGAACCGGTGCACAGGTAATGAGCTTTGAAATTTCTCTTTGGGTAATTTAATGGATTTGCTATGTCATATTTTTGGTTTCAAGCTTCATTGTTTTAAACTATTTTAGTTATCAAGAGTGATACCGACCGCTACTGTGCTATTTTACTTATCATATGTGATTTTTTAATCTCCAGTATGTCTACTTTAAATACTGACTGTTACTGTAGTATGAACATTAAATTATTTTGATGATCAATTCATTAGATGAGTTTGCTTCATCTTTTTTACTATGAATCTGTTACTAATAGTACTATAGGTTGTATACAAGCTCTTGTATACAGTAACGTGGAGAAAATTAAAGGATAGGTGAATATGAAAATTCAGCACCATAAATCTTTAATAAATGAGAATGAATGATGCGACAATAAAAGAATAATATCATATTAGTTTGTATAGTTAATGGATGCTCTAAATGTGAAATAATGTGTGAAGTTGAATGATTTACTTATTATTTTTGGGGAGTTCAATGCGAGGGCATGCTTTTCAGAGTGGATATCTTGTTTTGATAAATAGGCTATCCACCCTGGTTATGGTTTCTTGTCGGAAAGTGCTGATTTTGCTAAGCTTTGTGAAGATAAGGGTATTACATTTATTGGTCCCCCAGTGTCTGCTATCCGGGACATGGGAGATAAGAGGTGAAAACAAATTTTTTATTTTGGTATGAATTCATTGATCATTTCTGTGGTTATGCGAGTTATTAAAATTATGTATGTTTATCAGTGCATCAAAGAGAATAATGGGTGCAGCAGGGGTGCCACTTGTGCCTGGATATCATGGCAGTGAACAAGATATTGATTTTATGAAATCAGAAGCTGACAAAATTGGGTATCCTGTCTTAATAAAACCAACTCATGGAGGCGGAGGAAAGGTTGGCCACACTCTTTTTAGTCTTTTAATAGTTCTTGTGCTCTATGATTGATGATTGGATGTTTGCTTTGCTTAGTTTATAATGCAAGTTTTATAAATATTACTGTTTCTAAGTTGTGATGCTGATAAACTTGACAATGGCAATGCATATTGCTGTGACTTTAGTATTTTTTTTTTCCATGCCTTTCATTTGACAGATTAAAGCAGGAATTATGTGGGGAAAATAGTTTAATTTTATTGTGTAGGAAATTTATTTCTTTATGGTTCTCACTATTAGCAGATTTTTAGGGTATGAGGATTGTAGAAAGTCAGAATGAATTTGTTGACTCTTTCTTGGGAGCACAACGTGAGGCTGCTGCTTCTTTTGGCATAAACACAATTCTGTTAGAGAAGTACATTACTCAACCAAGGCACATAGAAGTCCAGGTACTTGTTGGTTGGTTGTTTCATTGCTACTGACATTGCTTTTCAGATTAAATTAAGTCATGCTGTTAGTTGATTCTAATTTTTTCAAAATTTAGCATCATTATCTTTCCTCTCAAGTTATTTGGCTAACTTCATTTTTGGAATGGATTAAGCTGCACTCTCGTGATTAATTTGATTGTTTATCCCATTAGATTTTTCTGCTTTATTTTGTAGATATTTGGGGACAAGTATGGCAATGTGCTGCATTTGTATGAGAGGGATTGCAGTGTGCAGAGAAGACACCAGAAGATAATTGAAGAAGCTCCAGCTGTAATAATCATTTATATATTATGGGTTTAGGCTTAGGCTTTCACTTATACATCTATGAAAGTTGTGATTGAAACTCCATTGTGCAGCCAAATATTACCAATGACTTCCGCTCACATTTGGGGCAGGCTGCTGTATCTGCTGCCAAGGTAACATAGTTTTCCATTTCAATCTGTTGAAAACTGCATAATCGAATATTGAAGATTATATATGACATAATTTTCTACTTCAATATATTATCTTCTTCAGCGATAATACTAGTGTCCTGTTTCTCTATGATGCGTAAAGGCAGTTAATTACCACAATGCTGGCACTGTGGAGTTCATAGTCGATTCTGAATCAGGCCAGTTTTATTTTATGGAGATGAACACCCGTCTTCAGGTCTGTTGATTACTCTTTTCTGCCTGTTGTTTGTTATCTTGAATGAACAAGAGTAACAAAATCCTAATTGGAGGAGAGTTTGTAGGTTGAGCATCCTGTGACTGAGATGATTGTTGGTCAAGATCTAGTAGAGTGGCAAATCCGTGTTGCAAATGGGGAACCTCTTCCTCTGAGTCAATCACAAGTTCCCTTGTTAGGTGAACCGTGAACTTTCTCCTCCTTGCTGAAGACCATGCTATGACTTAGTATTATTAGGATGCCCTGTTTTAACTACATAATTGCATGGGATTTTGAAGTATGATTCTGACATGTTTCAGTTCTAATTTATAAGTAACGCATCTGCTAAGCAACTAAATAGTAAGATTTTGAAACTTCTAGTGTTTGATATGTTTTATGAGGAAACGTGTTTTCTTGTTCCAATATTCCTAGTAAATAAACTTATGGTTGAATATGATGGAAGCTCCTCCTAGGACAGTTTTACATCAAAGTTGTTTGAAACTTTTGGTTTTTTACATCGATTATAAATGGATAACCTGGCAAATACTGGAAAGGCCCTTGCTATGTTGGCTTCTTTGTTGGGTTACAATTTTGGAGAACCTTATTACTGTTTTGGCATTTTTGTTCTTGCTTGACGATTGAGTATTTAGGGAACATGAAATATGGATTACTTTTGGTTCCTGGATGATAATGATTACTCATTCTTTTGACAGGTCATGCTTTTGAAGCCCGAATATATGCTGAAAATGTCCCTAAAGGATTTCTTCCTGCAACTGGAGTTCTTCACCATTATCATCCTGTTCCAGTCTCTTCTGAAGGTAAAGTTATAGCTAAGTTGCTAATATGCAGTAGAAACAAACACCCCATTTCCATCTTGGAGAACTTTTTTCAGCCAAAGTTGCTTTTTGCTGGTTCACATTTTAGTTGATTAGGCTTTAGTCCACTGTTTTTCTTATCTGACAAACTTGACCATCTTTCAGTCAGATAAACCTTATGTCTAATCTTCCAGCCCTTTTTGCATTGAAAATAGTATGTGAGATGAGGGTATTATGTTCCTACATTTCTGTTTTATTGAACTGAGCAAACAACTACCTTTGAGTGCTGTAGTTATCCATTTAGCATGATATGTGTTGCTGTCATTTTTCTTATGAATTCACACCATTTAGCAGTTCGGGTTGAGACTGGAGTTGAACAAGGAAACACTGTTAGCATGCATTATGATCCTATGATTGCAAAGCTTGTTGTGAGGGGTGAAAACCGTGCTGCGGCATTGGTCAAGCTGAAGAATTGTTTGTCAAACTTTCAGGTATATCCTTTATAGAATTATGTCTTCAATTGTGATGAACCATTAGATATGTGGTATACAATAAGAAATCCAAGAGAAGCAAGTAGGAGATTAGGAGGGGGATTTTGTGCGTAACAAGAAGATTCCAATGAATGAGGTGTTAGGGTGAGGTGTTACAATAGATGAGGTGTTAGGGTGAGGTGTTAAAAAAACAGTTTTGGGATGGACAGATGGCTGCAAGATATGGGATGAAGGAATAATTCTGTTAGGTGAGAAATAGTATAAAAAGAGAGGCAAAGGGGCGGTGAAGGCATCAGAAATTAGATGGGAAAATAGGGGAGGTGGCTGACCCTCGAAGCTCGGTGGGGGTGGAAACACTTTACTGTTAATTTCTTGTCTTTTTGTTTTATTGTTACTGATTCCTACTCTTGTATCAGTTTTATCCACATCTTGTTAATATATAAAGCAGTTGCATTTCCATTCATTAACACTGTCATAATCCATTACATTTCCATTTCATTATCTTCATTTTTCTGTCTGATTTAATTGCCTTAATATTGCTGTATTGTTTGAATTTGTGAGGTCCCCAACAAATTGCAGTGCAGGTGAGTTCATATTATTTTTGTAGGATTTGTCATTTAAGCTTTCAGCCTATAAATGAATAATTCAATGCAGTTGAACATTGACGCTATTACTTATGCATCATGCATCGTGCAATGAGCAATACTTTATGATTTAGACATTGGTTAATTTTGATTTTGATCAATGATATTTTAATTGTTGTCAGGTTGCAGGTGTGCCAACTAATATCAACTTTCTGCAAAAACTTGCTAACCATAGGGCATTTCAAAGTGGAAATGTGGAAACTCATTTTATTCAGCACCATAAAGATGACCTCTTTGTTGATCCTAGTAGTTCCAAAATAGCAAAGGTTTCTTATGGTGCTGCAAGACTCAACGCAATGGTAGTAGCTGCATGTTTTTGTGAACTAGAACATTCTGCTTTTAAGCAAAGTCCCCTTGGTAAGTTGAAGGTGTCGGTCTGGTCTTGGGTTCTGTATTAGCTGTTTTATATGGTCCTCTTAGCGTCTACATGTGGTGATTTGTCCAGGGAGCCACAGGGTACTTCCCATATGGTATGCTTATCCTCCTTTCAGAGTCCATCATCATGCTAGGCGTATTATGGAACTTGAGTGGGAGAATGAATATGATAGCAGTTGCTCGAAGCTTTTGACACTTACTGTCATTTATCAGCCAGATGGGAGCTATCTGATTGAGGTTTTTACCTTCTCAGAGTGCATTTAAAAGAATGGTGTCAACTATAAGTTCCTAAAGCTATCATGTTTAAGAGTTCATTATTCATGTCTTTTTCTGTCCTCCAGCTTCTCTCTTTTCTTCTTTTGATTGTCCCCCACTGAAATTCTTCTCAAAGTAATTCAATTTTTTTCAACGCATAACAGATGGCAGAAGATGGTTCACCTGGTTTAGAAGTCAAAGCGACATGCCTAGGTGAGCATGATTTTAGTGTTGAATTTGATGGTGCAAGCACAGATGTTAGTTTAGCTGTTTACACCAAGGTAAATGCCTCTCTACAAGCATATTTAAGAGTGCATTTCAATTGATTTATGGGGATTAAGTACACCTTTTTTTATGATTATTTGTTTATTTAGAATCTTAGTACAATTACTGAATATTTCATAAATGCCATGCATTATATTTTATTTTAATATTAGCAGTATAAATAACCAATAACCTGAGTGTACATACTATGTTGTTGTCCTATCCGGCCTTCTCATCTGTCTCCCACCTTTCACACTGGAAGTGTTCAATCATTCTCATAGGGAAAGAAACAGTTGGTAGTTCAATCATTTCCTTGAGTGGTGTAGTGGATCATTGTCTTTTAAATGAGGACCTTATTGGATTCTGGAACTATCTTATGTCTATCCCTTCTACCATGTGGGTGTTTTTCATGTGTTTTGCCAATTTTTATCAAAGCATTTTTATTTTTATTTTTTATTTATGAGGATATCATTCAAAGTTTTCATTAAGTAAATTAAGCATTTTTAAAGTGGGATCAGATAATCACAGTACTCTCTCCATGTCTGAGGTTATTTTCTTTTTTGCNAGCCACTTATCTGTCGCCACCTGTTTATTCTACCTTTTTGCTTCTCTTCACACTTTAGCTGCTCCCTTTATCACAATTGATTCCCTGGTGCTTCTTCCGACGCCTCTTATTATAAACCCTCACTTCACGTGTTGTATCAATACCTTCCCGAAGAAGAGCCACCTTGTCCTCAAGGTGGAAGGAAGGGAATTGGGAATTCAGGCCGTCATACTCTTCCCAAGTATTCTCATGGTGGGGTAACCCTTTCCACTTAATTAGAACTTCCCTTTGACCATTGATTAGCTTGCGCATTTTCAGCACGTCTTCTGGTTCGACAACTAAAACTAGATCCTCATTTAAGGAATCGGGAAGAGGCTGAATGTTTGGCGGAGGAAAATTGGCTTTCTTGAGTTGGGACACATGAAATACATTGTGGATATGAGCACTAGCTGGGAGTTCTAACCTGTAGGCGACTGATCCGATTTTCTCTAGGATGCAGAACGGCCCATAAAACTGGGGACTTAGCTTTTCATTGCAGCGGGCAGTGAGTGATTTCAGACGGTAAGGCTGTAGCGTAAGGTATGCAGATTCGTCTACTTCAAACTGAACATCCCGTCTCTTCGCATCGACCGAACTTTTCATGCGGTTTTGAGCCTTATGCAAATTCTCCTTAAGCTCCAGGAGAATACCGTTGCGATTCTGAATCTGCTAATTGACTTCATCTACCAGGGAGCTGTGGTCTGCGTATTTCAACAATGTTGGAGGGTCTCGTCTGTACAAGGCCTTGAAAGGACTCATACCCGTGGAACTGCTGTAAGTAGTATTAAACTAGAATTCAGCCCACGGAATCCAGTGAGGCCACTGCCGAGGCTGATTTCCTACAAAACAACAAAGGTAAGTTTCCAAACATCTGTTAACAACCTCCGTTTGACCATCTGTCTGCGGGTGATAGGCCGAGCTCATATGAAGCTTAGTTCCAGCCTGCTTAAACAGTTCTCCCCAAAAATGGCTCATGAACACTCGATCGCGATCCGAAACAATCGTCCTTGGAAAGCCGTGGAGTCGTACTACATCTTTGATGAATGCAGCTGCTACCTCCTTGGCTGTATAAGGGTGTTTGAGTGTGAGAAAATGGTTATATTTAATGAGTCTGTCAACGACCACCAAGATAGTATCCACATTGTGTGCCTTCGGAAGCCCCACTATAAAATCCATGGAAATATCTTCCCAAACCTGAATTGGAATAGGAAGGGGCTGCAATAGACCAGCAGGCCGCAATGCTTTATATTTGTTTTGTTGACACACACTACAAGAGGTCACATAATTTTGGATGTCCCGCTTCATTCCATCCCAATAAAACACATTCATCAGGCGCTTGTATGTTCTGTAAAATCCAGAGTGGCCTCCAATCGGGGAGGAGTGAAATTCATGCAAAAGTTTTTGAATATGAGGGCCTTGTTTCGGAACAACCAACCTGTTTTGGTACATAAGGTGTCTGCCCATGAGTTTGAAATGAGGGTGGCCATAAGGGTTAACCATGAGCTGCTGAATGAGCTGCCGCAACTTATCATCTTGTTGGATGGCCTCTTCCAGTTTTTCGAACCCGCCGAAATAGCCCATTGAAATTGCGTTATTCTCCACATTCTCGGGGCGTCGGGATAATGCATCCGCAGCCTTGTTCTCTGGCCCTAGGCGGTATTGTATTTCAAATTGCAACCCAAGTAATTTTGACACCCATTTCTGCTGCTCTTCATTCAGCAACCTTTGTTCAGTCAAAAAATGGAGGCTTTTCTAGTCAGTTCTGATGACAAAACGTCGGCCAAGCAAATAATGTCTCCACTTCTGTACCGCCATCACGATAGCCATCATTTCTCTTTCATAAACTGACTTGAGTTTTGAATTTGCTGATAGGCCTTTACTGAGAAAAGCAAGAGGCCTTCTTTCCTGCATTAAAACAGCTCCCAAACCTCAACCTGACGCATCAATTTCAATAAGAAATTGTTTAGAGAAATCAGGCATTACTAACACTGGTACACTGGTCAGGGCATATTTCAATGCCTCAAATGCTTCCTGAGGTTGCTCACCCCACATGAATGAATCCTTTCGCAACAAATTAGTCAAGGGAAGTGCTATCTTACCATACCCTTTTACAAAGCGTCTGTAATACCCTGTCAGGCCAAGAAACCCTCTGAGTGTTTTCACATCCTTCGGCCGGGGCCAGTTGACAATACTTTCAATTTTTTAGGGATCCACAGCCAACCCGTGTGCCGAAATGAAATGGCCCAAATATTCTAATTGGCGTTGTCTGAAGAAACACTTCTTTCGGTTGGCCACTAACTGATGTTTTAGCAGTGTCTAAAACGTGAGATTGAGATGCTACATGTGGTCGTCCATTGTTTTGCTGTACACTAGAATATCATCAAAGAATACCAGGATAAACTTCCGAAGGTAAGGTCGAAAAACCTTGTTCATCAATGCTTGGAATGTGGATGGGGCATTGGTCAATCCGAATGGTATAACGAGGAATTCGTAGTGCCCTTCGTGAGTTCGGAAAGCCGTCTTGTGGGTATCCTCTGGTCGCACTCTGATTTGGTGGTACCCGGACTTTAAATCTAGCTTGGAGAATACCTTGGCACCTCCAAGTTCGTCGAATAACTCGTCAATGGCGAGGATGGGAAACCTGTCTGGAATTGTTACTTTGTTGAGTGCCCTGTAATCAACGCAAAACCGCCACCCACCATCTTTCTTCTTAACCAGTAGAACCAGACTGGAAAAATGGCTGATACTCGGCTTAATGATCCCCGAAGCTAACATCTCACTAATGATTTTCTCAATCTCATTTTTCTGGTAATAGGGATATCTATAAGGGCAAAGGTTTGGGGTTTGGGCATCAGGATTTAATCGAATGGCATGATCCTGAGGTCTACACGGTGGTAATCCAGGTAATGGCTCAAAGACAGACTGGAATTGTGCTAACACTAACAACAGGCTACTACTGACACTAGCTTCTTCATCCGATTGTTTTTGTAATTGCCCAAATTCGACCAGATAGCCAGTTCCTTCACTCTTCAATGTTCTAATCATTGCTTTCAAGGAGACCATTGTTTTACTAAGTGCCGGATCACCTATAAGAGTCATCATTTCTTTATCCAGCTGAAATTTCATTACCTGCTTTCTCCAATCCATTGTAGTTTCGCCCAACGTTTCTAACCAAGCCCTAGGACAACATCTGCACTACTCATGTCAAAAGGAAAAAAAATCTTGAATTATCCTTACCTCCTCAACCTCTAAACAGACTGCCTTACACTCTCCCTCACTCCGTACCTTATACCCATCTCCAACACGTACCCCAAACGACTGTGTTTGTGTCACAGTAATGCCCAACTTTTCTACAATCTCCTTACTAATGAAATTGTGGGAAGCCCCACTGTCAATCAAGATAATCACCTCCTGACCCATAATACTTCCCTTCAACTTCATCGTTTTTGGGCCATTGATTCCCACAACCGAACTCAAAGAAAGTTCAACATTACCTTGGCCTTGTTCTTCCATCGTTGCTTCACTGACTTCTACGTCACCCGGATCCGGATCCGGATCTTCTTCTTCTTCGTCAACTAGAATTACTTGAAATTGCTTCTCACCACACTTATGACCAAAGAAATACTTCCCATCACACTTGAAGCACAAGCCCTTTTCCCTTTTTCGCTGTATTTAAAACTCTGTCATCTTTCGAAAAGGGAAATCACGTCGTGGTGGATGAGCTCTGTCGAAGGACCTGAAGGTTGTAGACGCTTGTTCGCGAGGAGAAGAATGAATCGATGAACCCACGGTATTACTCTCTGCGTTTCGTCGTCCCACGTTGGAGAAGGAATTTGAAAATGCATTTGATCTTAGGGATTCATTTGCGTTTGGGGATTTGAGTGAATCGGGTCGGGTTGTAATCGGGTTAAAATTTCTGGATCCAAAATTATTTGACCCAACATGAAGACCAGGCCCATTCCACCTATTGGTTCTTGTTGGGCCATTTTTTGCCTCTTCTAAAGCCCAGTTGCGTTCCTCCACTCTATGGGCTCTCTCTATGGTTTGAATAAGTGTGTTGGGCTGGATCAATCTTAATTCGGCCCGAATCTCTGCCCTTAGTCCATTCAAAAACGCAGCACTCAAGATTTCTTCCTTCTCTTCCACCAACAAAGCAGCTACCGCCTCAAACCTGCGTCTAAATTCTGCCACTATACTGGTTTGTTTCATGGCCATGAGAGTCTCGTAAGGGTTACTCTCTTGGGATCCACTGAATCTCTGAATTAAGGCGAGTTTGAACGATGGCCACGAGTTAACCGGTGCTCTAACCTCCATCCATTGATACCAGTTAATGGCTTCCCCTTCCATACATACTGCTACAGCTGTGAGTTTCCCTTCATCTGGAATTCCATTTAGGCTGAAGTACCTCTCAATTCTAAAAATCCACCCATACGGATCTTCACCCATAAAAATGGGTAACTCCAGTTTACGTCCTCCTACCTCACTCTGATTCTGTCCTGAGCTTCCAGATCCACTGATCCCGTTTTGGTTTTCCCCACCCTAATTTCTCACGTTCCTGGATGATGATGGTTCACCTCGCCCAGCTTCCTCTTCATCTTTTCTTCTCATCCAACTTTGTATCTCCACCATGCACTCACGAATCGTTCCCATGTCAACCCCCAATTTTGTCACTTCTCTTTCCACATTTTCTAGTCTCGATTCCATTCTCGTTGCTACCATTACCCACACACGTGCTCTGATACCAAATTGTTGCGAACCTATTTTATTGTACTTATTCAATCATCCACAAATTCCCAGCATCGTAATATTCAACCATTAATTATAAACAATCTAAACATTCAGAACTTCAAGTATGTATTTCCTGGTAAAGTCAGATTTACATTCATGTATGGACACTTCTCAACACCAGAATTCAATTAACAAACAACAAAGAGAATAAATGGAACTGCTACGCTGGACTTCAAGGGCCAGTTACCTCCCCTTTTACTCTATTCTCTCTTGATGCCTTTTCAACCTCTGCTGCTCCCTTTTATTCACTTCCTTCCCTAACAAAATTCCATTCTCAGCCACTTATCTGTCGCCACCTGTTTATTCTACCTTTTTGCTTCTCTTCACACTTTAGCTGCTCCCTTTATCACAATTGATTCCATGGTGCTTCTTCCCACGCCTCTTATTATAAACCCTCACTTCACGTGTTGTATCAGATTGCATGCATTCTTTCTTCATTTGCCTATGGGTTTGATTCTTGTTCAATGATTAATTATTAGCAAACATTTGTATCCTAACAGAGGCAATTGCAAGCCTCCAATGCTTTCTTTGTGGGTCTACAAGATTCTTTTTAGACACTGGTTATGCCTTGGAACAATCTGCTTTGGTGTTTACTTGTTGAGTAATGTCATACTTATAAAGAAATCTTATAAAGATCTCCATACAAAGTGATGTACCAAAAAATGAATGAAAGAGTGAATATAATGAGTTTGACTTTTTGATTCACTTTTCCATTCATTTTTTGCCACCTCACTTTGTATAGAAATCTTTGTAAGCTTTCATTGTAAGTATAGTATTATTGTTAATTGTTTGTATAATGCATCCACATATTGCTATTATGGTTGTTATCTACGTTCTTCATTTGCTAGAAGTCAAGATTTTATCAGCCGAGGAGGATTATACAGGAGATATAAGAGTAGATGCAAAGACTATTTAGGCTTTATATTTTTATGTTTAAGGCTAATTTTGTCTAAGTAATTTTAATCTTTATTTCCCCATTCTAGGCTTTACATTAAGGGTGTGTTTGGTTCAGGGAATGTTGTATTATTGAGAATGTTATATTAATGAAAAGAAAGATTATCTTGAAGATTACTGAGAATGTTTAAGGAAATGTGTTTGGTTTGTTGGAATAAATTGGTGGGTATGTTATATTAATATGTTTGACAGACGTGGCCGTTAACGGCCATCGATTTGGCCGTTGATGGCCAGATCAACGAATCTAGCTGAAAACGACTAGATTTGATCTGGCCGTTTTTCGACCAAATTTGTCACAATCTAACCATTTCTAGCCAGATCTCTGGCCGCGAATAGCCATATCGGCACATGGCGGTCATTTCCAACCTTTTATGCGTCGTTTCGACAGCGACTGCAATTGACCACCGACGGTAGTTGCCGATGACCAACAGCAACAGGTGGGTGGGGGTCGTGGCTTGAGTGGAATGCAATTTGTTTTGAATTCAAGGGTAATTTTGTCCAAAAAATTAATTAATTAGGATAAAATTGTAAAAGTCAAATTCATGTAAATTGATTTTAAAACAAGGGCATTATTGTCCAAAGATTTTATTAATAAGGGATAAGAAAATGGAGATTATGAGATTACCTCATATATTACCAACAGTAACTATTATTATTGGTATTTGAAAATTACCGGAATCTTACATTACTTGACAACCAAACATGGTAATTAAGTAATATAAGATGACATAATCTCAGTAATCCTATATAACCCCCAACCAAACACTCCCTAAGTGAGAAACTACTTGTTGATGAATAAGTGATTTAAACATCAATAACACTATACTTATAAAGAAATCTTACAAAGATAAAGATTTCAATATAAAGTGAGATAGTAAAAAATGAATGGAAGAGTGATAAAAAAATCAAACTCATTATATTCACTCTTCCATTCATTTTTTGTCGCATCACTTTGTATGGAGATTTTTGCAAAATTTCTTTATAAATGTAATGTTACTCTTTAAATATTGTTGCTATAAGTTCTATACATAATTTCTCTTCTAAAATTCTCCCTTTATTCTTGTTCTTTCCCTTATCCTCTCTATTTCTTCTTTTTTCTCTATTGTGTATCTTCGCTCCTCTATCACAACGTTTTTTCAACACACCACCTCATAACCAAATAAAATTTCAAAGTTTTGTACTTTTTAGATGACAAATTTGGATTAACCGTCACTTAACGCTAAGACTTGTGTCGATCAAAAGGACATCCGCGTCTTTAAACCACGGATCAAAGACCTCAATACAAACACCCTAATGATTTTTTAAATTATTAATAATTATTATACTAATAAATATTAACAAATAATATTTTCATTTTCGATAAAACTTTATCCAGCATATTCTCATCAATTTATTTTCAAAATACTGTATTGTGTTATATAGTTGTATGAAGTCCTTTTCAAAACATCAGAGAACCACTAAATTATCACAATGTCATCATGTTCAACTTAAATATGTATAAATGCTGATTAGATGAACCTCAAAACTAAAGGAAATTGAAGTTACCTGCAACATCAACAAAAACATCATGTTTACGTCTGTGCCACTGATGATATCGGAATAAAAAGAGACCCCCAAACAACACAAGTAGAAAAGCACCACAACTTGCTGATGTTACAACAACTCTATGTTTTGATCTGCTGGTTGAAACTGTCAAACATATCTAGGTTCAATTTCCATCAAGGTTTAAGATACATGTGGTGAAGAACTTACCATCAATCCAGTTTAGTTTATAAAAATTAGTAAAAAACAAAATTTTAAGTTCTGGCATAACCTCAAGTGCTGAGCTTGTTATAATCAAATGGATTAGATTTATCTTGCCTTATCTTCTGATTTAATAAAACAAACAAGACTTGAAGATTTAAAACTATCGATTCTGAGGGCCTAAATTTACAAGAAACAACCTCTCCTCTTGTGGCCGGATGGCAAGCCCTTTAGTCACTTGGGTTAGCTATACCCAAGGGTCTTGTATTCGAGTCGGGGCATAAACAATTACCGGGTTTACCAAAAAAAATTTACAAGAAACAGCCCAGCAGTAGTCCTAAGTTGAGATAAATTGAAAACAAGTAATGCAAAAATTTCAAATAACCTGGTAGAGGAGTGCCTGACACACAAGGCTGCTCCAAACTAGGGCCACAAGTGAGATGTGTTCCAGTAAAGCTGAAAATACAGCAGTCAATAGCAATTCATTGAGTATTTGAGGTAAAAAAAACATAGATATGTGGCACTTCAAAGCTATCTAATATAAGCAGAACATTAAAGCAAATAAAATCAGTAGATAAGCATAAGCATAAATTAATATGTAACAGACACATTGCATTAAATGAAAGATACAGAAGGCTAACATACTAGACAATTGAAGTGAGTTTGAAGTTTTTATTTATTTTCTAATTATGTCTAAAAATCATTCACTGTCCTGTCACATTTAAAGAAGATAATTAGGTTGAGGGACATAATCACATGAAGAAGCTGTTAGATAAAATGTTGAATATATGCTTGTCGGTTATAGATGAAGTTTTCACTCAAGTGTAGCATCATTATGTAACAATTATATCCAGGGTTCCAAACATTCCTCTAAACTTTGGTTGATTTCAAGGTTTCCTATTCCCTGAAATCTAATTTTGGGCAGGCATTTGATGATCTTTTCCAGTATACAGACAAAAAGAAAATAAAAGTCTTAAAACTAGTTCAGACTATCTACATTATCTAGCCAGATTATCCGGTTTGTCTAGCTTTCATGTTTTCGGGCTTGTTAAATGAATAACACTACAATTACCATATGACCATATGCATTTTTCCAATATGTTATTCGCCACCAGCAATGAAAGATAAAGACCAATATTTACAAAACAGCCGTCAGAGGTATTTTAAAATGCTAGATATTAAGAATCCAGTTACAGAAAAAACATAGAAAAATTTGTAAATAAAAACTTATTACCAACATAAACCAATAAGAATGTTCTTCTTCAGCTAATTGAAAATTGATGCAATGAGAAATGGCCAGCAAGGCCTTTTTCAGCTTCTTGAAAATTGATGCAATGAAATGGCCAGGCAAGGCTCTAAAGTTTGTGTGCAACCTCGAAACAGAAATGAACCAAATGCAGCATAATATACTAATACTTTACAGAAATATAGGAACTATTGGAGATTACTTGAATGTTGCAACTGAAAATAGTTGCATTGGAATTTTCCAGCTAAATCATTCGATGAAAGATCCCTGTCAAATAAGAATTCAAAAACAATAATTAGAGTTGAACAGCATATAATCTCACAGTCAGCATAAGTTACTTAGCTTAAAAAATAAAGACTATAACTGTAGGTTCCATGCAGTTCACATTGGTACAACCAAGAAAATTTGTTTCTCAGAAAGAGTAGAAACATGAAAATTATAATGTTCAAGAAACTAAAGTGCATCCTCACAAATGCTTTAAATTTGCTAGTGACCCCAATTTACAGGTATAGAGCCAATGAATTTATTGTTTGCAAGATTCAGACTTTGCAGGGGAACCATGCTGCCAATGTAATCTGGTATGCACCTGATAAATTATTATTCTGTAGCTCCCTGAGTAGAAGACAACCACAATTTCCAAAATGAATAAACTACATGTGTTATCCGAACAAAACAAATATCACAAAAGACTAAATTAAGATGCAATTAACTGAAG